GCGGACACAGCATCTTTGTTTGTATGTGGTGCTGAGGATCGAACCCGGGCCGCATTCATGCCAGGCGAGCGCACCACCGCTTGAGCCACATCCCTAGCCCCTGGCCCTATTTTTTTTGTTGTTGTTATTTATTTAGAGACAGGGTCTCACTGTGTTGCTTAGTGCCTCACTTTTGCTGAGACTGGCTTTCAACTTGGGATCCTCCTTTTTCAGCCTCCCGTGCTGCTGGGATCATGGGCATGTGCCACTGTGCCAGGCTTACCTTTTTATTTCTTAATTTTTATTTCTTAACAGGGGCTTGCTAAGTTGCTGAGGCTGGTCTTGAACTTCTATGTCTGGCAACCAGATCATCTTTATTGTGAAGGGATCTGCAGTGCACTATAGGATGTTTAGCATCATCTGTGGTCTCACCACTGGATGTCAGTAGCATCTCCTATTTGTGACAAAATCTGTAATTTCTCTCCACTCAGCATTGTCTAGTATAACTATGCAATGATGTGACTACTGGGCACTTGAATGATGGCTAGTGTGACTAAGTAACCATATTTTAAATTTTATTTGATTTTAACTAATGTGTTTAAATTTAGGTAGGCATATGTATATGTGGCTAGTGTGGCTACCATTTTGGACACTGTAGTCTAAATATAGCTCTGTGGCTTTTCTAGAAATCACTTCTTTTTCATATAGAACCCCTTTTGCTTTATACCCAGAATCCTCAGAGAGAATGAGGTGGAAGGTTAGCTAGCTGATATGTAATAGATAGTTTTGTCTAATACAGGCTTTTCTTTCTTTCTTTTTTAATATTTGTTTATTTTTTAGTTGTAGGAAGACACAATACATTTATTTTTTTTATTTTTATATGGTGCTAAGGATCAAACCTAGTGCCTCACGCATATTAGGTGAGCGATCTACTTCTATGAATCACAATCCCAGTATAATACAGGCTTTCTTGGCTGGGCGGTAGGACCATCAAAGGTGTACCAGCTCTAACTGTGCAATCATCAAGCCGGTTGACTCACCTGGAGTAATGTATGACCTGCATGCTTCTGATACAAAGCATCTGCCCTGTCCAAGGAAGTAATATGCACAGGAAGGAAGTTGGAAGCCACAACTGTAAACCAAGCAGACTGATTTCCCTTAAGAAAGGAGGAGAGAAATTATTTTACCCAATGAAAAATTTGATTACAAGGTATAGTAAAAAAGGAGAAAACTCTTCTTAAGAATGGGTAATAATAGCAGCTGTAATCAAATTATATAAATATCAAAAAAAAAAGGGAGCACAATATGGAAAGAGTGCATTTTACAATTCATGTGAATCATAAGACTAGGACTTTTGCAGACTTGTTGATATTATTGAAGTCAGGTATAAAATATTAAAAATCTATGGGCTTTAATGAAATATACAAGGGTTCTAGATGTGTAAGACTAAAATTTCCAACAAAGTATGATAAAACACAAAACCCAAGGAATGTACTATAACAATGTACTTATAAGTTACATGTTGGTGGACATATCTGTTTTGTTTTCCTTTCTTCTTTTCACTTTGGCAAAATGAAGAATGATTCTACAGATGCTCTAAAATCCCCAAAATGTATCATACAGATGAATACCAAGCAAAAAGAACATATAAAAAAGATAATATCTGGGATATAAAGAAGTGCTGAATTACTTCAATGCATACTAGCTCTGGATCAAGAGGTCTAATCTTATGATTTCCTTGTGAAACAAGAGCACAGGAAAGGGATAGTATTTCATCTTTTTTTGTTTTCTTTTTTGGTATTGGGGATTGAACGCAGGGGCACTTGACCACTGAGTCACATCCCCTGCCCTATTTTATATTTTTATTTAGAGAGAGGGTCTCAGTGAGTTGCTTAGTACTTCACTTTTGCTGAGGCTGGCTTTGAACTAGTGATCTTCCTGCCTCAGTCTCCCAAGCTGCTGGGATTATAGGCGTGCGCCACAGCTCCTGGCTCAGTATCTGGTCTTAAATGCTAAGTTTTTAGGGCATTCAATATCCCTTTGATGATAAGGTTTTTAAGACCCAATATTCCTTTTTTTCCCCCCCTTTCTCCCAAGCTTTTATGGAAATTTCCAAACATATAAAATCATGACTTAGTTATATAAACATTTTGACAGTCTTATTCATAATGTTAATGCTTCTTTAAAGTACATCCTAATACCTAGTAGTTTTTAATGGTACAGATTTTTCTTACCTGCAGGAAATCTATGCGGCCTATAGCACCCAAAAATAGAACCATTCCTGGTTTAAGCACAAAAGTTCTTGGAATAATGGAATGTGTTGGTAGAACAATGTTTACTTCTTTTTCTGTTAGAAGATTTAAAATCTGTAAGGCAAATGGCAAGTTTAATAGAGAATTACTTTTACTGAAAATATGGTATTTTGAGATTCACTTATAAAAAATGATGAGAAAATACTACAAAATATACTAAATTATGTCAGTTAGTCACATATGAACTCTGTCTAAATTAATCTCAATTTACTGGTGGTTATACTCATTTCAAAACTGAGTCTTGGGCAGTGGCAAAATAACTTCATAGGTATATGATATTTTTCTATGTCATCACTATACTACAATGTTAAAATTGGTATGAACTTGAAAATGTTTCAGGATCAATACTGCTGAGGGCCATTACCAAGTAGGAATGACGCATCGAAATTTCCTTGCCAAGCGTACCCCATGCTGCTTAGAGGACATTTGATGGAACATTGCATGC